GTCTTCACTGAGGTCTCTGTGGAGCACATATACATGTATGTGTGTGTGTCAACACTGTACAGTTAACATTTCTGTCCATGGAGCAGGAACCAATCAGTGACTCCCGTCCATCAATGGGGCCATTAACCAGGTTAATGAAGTCCTAACCAGCAGGGGGCAGTGGTAATAACCTGACCACTGACCAGAGGGGAGCTCTCCGTGGTGCTGAACCTAGAGCCAACACGACCAGTGAAGACTGTCACCAGAGAACACCACGGTCTTTGTTGGTGTCTCCAGATGTTTTATCCATAAAGTACTAATACATGAAGTACTACATGGTGAAGTACTTGGGTTCTGACTCACAGTCCTAAACTATTTATTTATAACCAATAAAAACCTGTGGCTTTGAAACCAATCAACCGTAAACTAAGAGGACTTTAACGCTGTGTTCTACTGCTGCCACTGGAGGGCAGTACTGATGAGAGCTGTGGTAACAGGTGGTCTTTATGTTGCCTCTGGTCAGTCATCACCACACAGCCTTAGTTACCACAGTGTGGCGCTGTAGAGTACCATGGATGTGTGCGTCACCTTACCTTCCAAGATCCAACAGTGTACGGTACCGTGCCGCAGGAGTCACATGTTACTGCAGCGGTACCGTCCTGGTGTCGCTCCAACGTCGTTAGGTTGACTGGAAGTAGAGAAGGAGATGAAACAGAAGCAGTGGTTGATGAGAGGAACTCAAGTCAAGCATCGGTACCAAACTCTCACTGCAGATTTGCAGACTTCCTTCCTTCCTTCCTTCCTTCCTTTCCAATAGTTAGAACTTTTACCCCTGACCCCACTGACCCCACTGACCCCACTGATAGTGGGGCAGTTGGTGGCTTATTGGTTAAGGTTCGAGTCCACCAGGTGCCCTGCTGCCCCCTGCTGACTGTGGTGATGGGTTAAAAGCAGAGGTCACATTTGGTTGTGTGCAGTGGTGCAGTGGTGCAGTGGTGTCACAGTGACCAGGAGTTCACTCTCAGTGACTACCCCAGCCCTGATCATTGGTCCAAACAGTTCCCCCTTCCTCCCTTCCTTCCTCCCTTCTTTCTTTCCTTCCTTCCTTCCTTCCTTCCTTCTTTCCTCCCTTCCTTCCTTCCTTCCTCCCTTCTATCCTCCCTTCTTTCCTTCCTTCCTTCCTTCCTCCCTCCCT